ATGTGTAAGATTAGATGAGAAGATCGGTTAAGTATGCAAAGGTGCGGAGTAACCGTCGCATTACGCATTCCTGATTTTTGTCGCACATGCATAGCTGCATACCAGTTATGTGCACCCGTGGTTATAGACAATATAAAAATATTTAGTTTGTTACCTATTAATTTTATCTGTATGGTTACTGTGTTTTATAGAGAAAGTACTGATGGACAGTGATGGATCAGACTCTGAAAATGAGACTGGAAATGGTGCTTCACCTTCAGATTCAGCAGGTATGTAGTCAGCTACTGAAAGGGAATGATAAGAAAGCTAGAAAAGGCTTCTTACGTCTTCTTAAGTCTCACCAGTTTAAACATTCACGTGATCTTAAACTATTCGGTAGGCTACTTGTGCGCTGTCGAGATTTCTGTCGGGTTTTTTTTCGTCACACATACAAGCCGCCTCACAAACAGCTCACGGGTAACAAACTTTATTTTTCGTGGATTATATCACTTTACCAGTCAAAAACATGCGAAAATCATGTCAATTTCGGTCTTGGTGAGTATCCTCTAAACACATTCGGTTATGTCTTAATAAGCATACATCGCACGTGACCGTATAATGTTGGTACTACAGGATCTGTGCACAAGCTCACAGTGACAGCAGCCATATGTCTAGTCTGTCAGTAATTTGGTTGTCAAAACAACAAAACATAGCTTTAATTTTAATGAATCAGGATTAATATCCTATGTATTTAATTTAGTCAGGACTAAAATACTACCCTGTGTTATTTTACATTTGATTAATTTATTCAGTCTCTGTAGTATTTCTGAATACTAGTGTCAGACCTAAGCAAAAACTTTTCTCTTTATAGGTATCTTTATTCTATTGTATTTATTTGTGCTACTTTTTTTCAATTTAATTCAAAGATTGAAATCAAGCTTCCTTGTGTTGTATAAATTCTTAAGAACAAAAATACCCCATTGTAAAAATGCAATGAGTGAGCATATAGGAGATAAAAGTAATTAAAAAAAAAGTCTAAACTCCCCCATCAAATAAAAAAAATATTTTTTAATTAAATACCCCCCCCCCCCCCCCCCCATAAGAATCACCTAAGGGGAGATTTCCAAAACGAAATTCAGGCCCTGGATAAAGACTGTAAAGACTGCACAATTTGTCAAGAAGAAAACACTGTGGGGTGCGGCAGCTTTAGTTAGGTCCTATAACTAAAATGTTTAGTTTCTAAAGGCTTAAACATGTAAAGAAAAGAATTTACTTCTTCAATTTCCCAAGCAGTATTTTATGGTTAAGACCAATAAAACCTAAATATTGTCACATTTTCAACCATGATAACTAGATTTTAGCAAACATGTATGTATAAAACTGTAAAGAAATGAGAGAAAAAACAAAGACCATGTATTTATTTGATATGTTATTCACGTTCATGTCGTGTGGGAATAAAATAAAAATAACTTTTATCCCAATCACAATTACTAATATTTATTTTTATTTTATTCAGTATCTTCACAAAACCCACGGAGAAAGTGGTCTAAAGAGGAGATCCAGGCTGTGGAAAACACTCTGATGAACAACATCCACTCTGGGAAGGTTCCTGGTAAAGCCCAATGCATGGAGTGCATTGAAAGGTCACCAGCAGCACTTCAGGGGAGAAGTTGGGAGGGGGTGAAATTTTATGTTAAAAATCATATGCTTTAAAGCGAAAAATGTAAAAGTCCTTTACCTAGATGGGGTTTTATTTTCTGTTTGGGCAACAAGTTCAAAATGTGTTTCAAAACTCGAGTGAAAACACTGGTACTTAAATAAATGTTCAAGAGCATTAAGAAAACATAGATTCTTGTTTTTTTTTGTAATAGCCCAAATGTCCAAACTTCTCTTGGGGAAGTTTATGGGGGTTCTACGTCAAATGTCTTCTACTCAAAAGAATTCGGTGTGGTCCCAAAATTGTGGCACACTTGCATAAAAAATATAGATGGATAAACAGACCGATATAAAGACATACAGATGCCAGATTGATAGATAATACAGATAGATAATACAGTTTTGTGTTGAGTTTAAGGATAAAAGATTTCCTCTTTTTCTCTTTTTAAGAAGAGAGAGGACAACAAAATCATCCTCACTGCTTAAAGACTGTTTTGTATTGTTTGGCGATTTTTTCCACAACGAATTAATACATATTGGACTCATGGGGCTTCCCAGGTTTCTGTACGTGACAAATTTGTAGTATTACGAATAAGAAAAACACAAATAGCAGTATATTTCGCAACCCTGTTGAATGCCAGGCATGTGCTGTTTTAATTCAGAGTTGATTCCAGTATGCGCAGATCATTATTCAGCAAACACAATTATACCCGTGGGATCAATGCCCCATGACCATTTCCTGCTTGTCATACAACATGACTGTCTTATTTATCAAAATGTGGACCTTTTCAGATTCTCAGAGTTGAAGAAAAATAGATTCCTGTTAATCAGGAAGTGAGGTGAGGCTGTTGTCACTTTTTACATCCATACAAATGGTCTATTCAAATATAGGGAATTAGTGAATTGTAAAATGAAGTAAAAATCCATACAAATATAAATATAGACAATTCTCCCTTTTAAACAATTCTTTAATGATTATCTAAACTTAATATTTATTGTTAATCTGGTACAGGTTTAAATTTGTGTAAAAAAATCGTTAATCTACAGATAACTCATAATAGTGCCACACAGTGGTGGTTTGTGGTAAGACACAATGGGGACGTCCCCACCAGAATAGAAAAACCTGACAAATATTAAGCTTTCTAAAATTAAGAATTTATGATAATAAAGTTGATTTTTGGGATTCAAAAATTCCCCCAGACACTTCTGACTTAAAATGATGGCTTTATTGTATTTAGAAATTGCTGTCCCCACGTGTCACCTTCTAGTCATGAGTCCCCACAACGTAGCAAAAACAAGTATGTGTGTGTGTGTGTGTGTTTTCGTTCCTGCAGTTTGGTTACGTCATTCAGTTTGTATACGTGATTCATTCAGCGTTTAGTCTGCTTCCCAATAGTGGTGTGACGCTATCTGGGTTGTTTTACCTGGTTTCATTTCATTGTAAACACCATTCATACCGATTTAGTGATTTCCCGAAAGCTAGAACAATTTTCTTCAAAACTAAACCAAAACCACTTACGTGGAAGCATAACAGATATAAGATAAGTGCACTTTCACTCATTCAATGTGAATCTCAAGTTTTACTTTCAGATTTAGGCTCAAATTTTTCACTCATTCAAATGTGTGTGAATCTCAAGTTTTCCTTTCAGATTTAGGCTGAACACACATAGCCTATTAAAAATGTGCCCTTTAAAGCTTGACACAGGCTATGAAATAAAGCAGAAAAGCATTTTTGGAAATGAATATATATTTTTTAAAATAGTTTGCATATGTGTTTCATGATTTACATCAGGCATACAACGGTCCAAATAGCATGATAGTGAGAACTTAGGGAAAAAACATCTGTTTAATTCAGAGGCCCGAACATACAAAAATATGAAATGCAGTTGTTATTTATATGTTAGTTGAAATTATGATAACTTGTCATATATATCAGTTGTCTCTATAGCTCCCAATAATATGTCTTGATGATCATGTTTAGATTCATGATCAAAGCTTTGCAAGTGCAAAACACACAACAATACAATACAATTATGATTGAGAGATGCACAAATAAACATTCTATCTGTTGTATCATTTGATACATACAATTTTCATAAGTTTTCTAAAATAATATAGCCTAGTAATAATAATATAAAAAATAATGTATACATTACTGGAAAAATGGCTGTGAAATCTACAGTTATTTACTGTAGATTTCACAGTAACATTACTCTATAAGATTTTTACAATAGAATATTGTAAAGTTTACAGTAAGACCTTAAAAATCACAGTAGTCCAAGTATTACAGTTGAAATCACAGTAGTCAAAGCATTACTGTAAAAAGATCACAATTTAGCCACTAGTACTGTAAATAGTAAAATAAACTACTGTAATTTTCCTTTTTTATCATATCTTTCTTTGTACCCCTTTCAACTATTGAATGACTAACAATTTGCTCTGTATACAAAACTTGTAATGAAATACCTCGTTTTGTAAAATTTTCTTCAGTCGTAAATTAAATGTAGCAACAGTAGAATAAGCGAGCTTGCATGTGGATTCTCTCTCCGCTTCGTCCTTGCCTCATCGTTACAATTAGACTATCCAAAGTTAACACACTCCGCTGGGCGTTGTGGCCACATTACAAACATAGAACGTGCGTCATTCCTGTTCACCAAATGTTTTTAAATAAATAACTGTTAACAATTTTCTTATTGTCTGCAGTTGATTGCAATGTTTTAGAAAATGGGTGATTATTTTAATGATGGCTAATATTAAATCACAGTGATACAGTATTTAAATTGTACAGTGAGAAACTGAATTTACAGTGATTAACTGTTATCAACTGTTTACTGTATTGCACACAATACATAAAAAACAGTGCTTAACTGTTTTTTTGTATATAAATGCAACTAAAATCACAGTGTTTAATTGTTTTTATTTTACAGTGAATACACAAAATACTGTAAATGTAAGTACAGTACCCTTACTGTAAAACGAATTCACAGTAACTTACTGGCAACATTTAGCCAGTAAGTTACTGTAAATACAACTAAAATAACAGTATTTAATTGTTTTTGACTTCACAGTGTATACATAAAATACTGTAAATGGAAGTACAGTACCCTTACTGTAAAAAGTATTCACAGTAACTTACTGGCTAATTGTTGCCAGTAAGTTACTGTACATTTTACGGTAATTCTTTTACAGTGTAGGGATAATCAAGCAAACCTACTTCAGTCTAAATGTTATAAACAATATAGGCTTTATGAAAAATAAATAAATATATTTATTTATTTCAGCACTTTTGTCAGAGGTAATTTTATTGCTTCATGCCAGACAGTGGTTAGAGGTAGACCTGTATACTTCAGCAATTACATTCTCACAATGTCTGGATTTTAGTCCTTTTCAAGGGCACACAATCCCATGAAATCCTGGATGAATCTGAGAACCCATCTAAGAACCGCATGCGGTGTCCTGGCTGACATCCACAAACTGTGTTATTTTGGTTTGTACATGGTGAAATCACCACTGCATGACCTGTCAGAGAACCAATCAAAGAAAAAGAGAAAAGGTTGAGTGAAGATCTAAAGAAAACCAACACAGCAAGATATGTAGTAGATATGTCATTTTAAGTCAAGTCATGAAAGGAAAAGAACACTGTTAAACACTTACGCTTGCTGCATTTCTGGCATCTGAAGCAGTTTGGGAAATAGTTCATGCTGTCTTGGTACGTCCCGTCTGAACATTTCTCACATTCAGATTGCATGCCACTAGAGCATTTCTTTATCAACTTATAGCCTGAAGAAAAACACATGACAGATGAAGAGACTGAACAGTCTATGTCTCTGAAAACGTTATGTTTGACTGTATTGGTTCAACATTTGAGACACCGTACCTGGAGCACATTTGTCACAGCAGAGCCCGTCACTCCAGTATTCATTTTTAGAACAATCCCTTTTGTTGCTGACACTGCGCTGCCCCGTCACAACGCCCACGATCTGTGGTAAAAGGTTTACACTTCAGGAAACTCAACTTTCGGTCTCATGTTGCTTAACTGAATGATGTCATCACATTGACCTTTATACAAATATTTATACAATGAATGCACATATTTGTAAAATTTGTTTCCAGTGACTCACCAATAATATCAATATACATGGCAGGAGTTTCCTCATGTTGTCCTCGGATGTGTTATATGGTGGTTACATATGTCCAATCATTCTTTTTTTCAGTTTTCTGGGAAATGAAAAATAGATTTAATATTACATATTTCAGGAGATAACTGGATGACTGCAATTCTGAAAGAATAAAGACCTGTGAAATTATTTATTTTATATATAATTTATATTATTATATACAAAATATACATGATTCAGATATAGCACAAATGTTAAGTACCTGGCACAAACAGTTAAAATAAATGATCATATAATCATGATCTTTAAAGTTATTTATCTTATTTATCAAGTTAAATGTTACATTTTGTTTGAGATATAGCCTAGTTGTATATAATTAGCTATGTCTTAATATAATATTAATATAATTGTAGAACTATTCTGACTGACAGAGAGAAGAGCATGATAACTTTACCTCTGTTCCACCCGGATCTATTGTAGAGTTGCTCCTGATTCCATCAAACAGAAAGAATGAATGAAGGAATTCCTTCCAGGTTTTCTTATATAGAAGACAGAGATTAGTCATTCACTACGTAACTACAAACAAACGACTATACAATTGCTGGGGCTCAAGTGATAATAAAACATGTCCAGTCAGGTTTAGTCATCATCACTTGCAAGAAACTAAAAAAAAAAAAAAAAAAAAAACTTCCCTAAAAAGAAGAATTAACGTGTCTAAGCTCTAATAATTCAAACATAAACAAAACGCACATTATTTGACATAAATTGTGTAAAAAGGAAAACAGTCACGAGGCATCAAAAAATAATAATTTTAAACATTGCCAAATATAAAGAAAAATAGTGCTTTTAAACATTGGTTCCACTACCCTTGTAAACTTAAAGGGATACTTTACTGGTTTTTCATATTAAACTATGTTATTCCCTTAACAAAGACGAGTTGATACCTATGGTTGATACATACCTCTCTTGTCTCAGTGCGTGCACTAATTCGCTGTCTTGCGGCGAAACTTTGTTCTTATCTCAGCCCTGTTCATTCAATACGGGCCAAGAAGAGAAGCGACCAAACACCTCCACGTTTTCCCTATTTAAATACAGTTACTAGAGTAGTGTAACTCGACCGAAGACGGTGACACAAAATAAAACGTTGCGCTTTTCTAAGCGTGTAAAATGGATAACTATATTGTATAGCAAAATACCATAGCAAGTGCTTGGGAGCACTTCGACTCGGCGCAGTAATATCATCACTCGTGAAAAGTCCGCTACCGTTGAAATGAGGGAGCGGGGGGAGATGACTTTTCACGAGAGATGATATTACTGCGCCGAGTCGAAGTGCTCCCAAGCACTTGCTGTGGTATTCTGCCATACAATATAGTTATCCATTTTACACGCTTAGAAAAGCTCAACGTTTTATTTTGTGTCACCGTCTTCGGTCGAGTTACACTACTCTAGTAACTGTATTTAAATAGGGAAAACGTGGAGGTGTTTGGTCGCTTCTCTTCTTGGCCCGTATTGAATGAACAGGGCTGAGATAAGATCTAACAAAGTTTCGCGGCAAGACAGCGATTTAGTGCACGCACTGAGACAAGAGAGGTATGTATCAACTCGTCTTAGTTAAGGGAATAACATAGTTTAATATAAAAAACCAGTAAAGTATCCCTTTAAAGATTTGTGGTCATGATATGTGGCTTATGAAATATTAAATATCAATTAAATATCAATCATTACATTAATAATGTAAAAGTTATTCATTTTGACCCCAACTATGGTTAGGCATTATAACTGGAAATAGAGGTTATTACGCATTCCCAAAAATCCCATATATTTTCATATTTCTTACACATTTCATGCCAAATGGAATGTACAGTAAGCCATAATGTGACTTATTCCAGTAAACCATTGACCCTAAAGGGAAGTTAATCTCTGATACCACACAAGTTCCCTTTTTAGAAATGCTGACTAAAGCCATATATTTGGGTATTGTGGATCACTGGTCTCATAATTTTCATGAAAATTTGAAAATTCATAATTATCTTCCCATCATTGTATGAATGATATTGTATGTCGAGGTCTTTGATGATAATGATGGATGAACAACACATGTTTCATTCAGCTGTGGATAGACCTCAAAAACATTTTATACTGTATCTTTACTGTTTATATTGTAACTTGTCTCAGTATTGAACTTATACTATTTATATTTATAATGTATATTATATATATTATATTATTCTACTGTATACCGGTATATTATAGTATTTCATTCCTTGCCATAGTTGCCTTATAGGGGACAAAAGATAAGAGTATCATGGCATGAATTTCAGTCAGCTTCAATTTATACACTTTTGGTGTTAATATAATTTTGGTGTTAACTTAATTTCCATTTTTATGAAACAGGGGTTGAGTTTTTGAACATATTCACTCAAAGAAAAAAAAAACAGAAACAGGTTTGATTATACCATTGACTTAAGTTGTATGGATCAAACGAGACAGACATTTCCCAGAATATCTTTTATGTCATTCCACAGTAGAAAGAAGTCACACAAAGGAATGAGGCATTTATAAGGTGAAAGTGACATGAAGTGAAGGCCAAATATGGTAATTCGGAATTTATCCTTTCAATTTAACCCATTCAGGTTATGCACACACATTAGGAGTAGTGAGTTTGAACACTCACACACACACACACACTCACACACACACACACACACACACACACACACACACACACACACACACACACACACACACACACACACACACACACACACACACACACACACACACACACACACACACACACACACACACACACACACACACACACACACACACACGCCCGGAGCAGTGGGCAGCCATTCACTGCGGCACCCAGGGAGCGATTGGGGTTAGGTGCCTTGCTCAAGGGCAGATCAGTCATTTCCTGCCGGAATTGAGAATCGAACCTGCAACCTTCTGGGATATTAGACCATGACTGCGCCTTACTATGTGCTACTGTACACCCAAAGCGCTTTACAATCATATCAGGGACTCTCCCCTCAATCACCACCAGTGTGCAGCATCCACTTGGATGATGCGACGGCAGCCACAGTACAACGGTTATAACGCTCACCACACGCCAGCTATAGGTGGAGAGGAGAGAGAGAGAGTGATAAAGACAATTCTGTGGATGGGGATTATTTGGAGGACATGATTGATAAAGGCCAATGGAGGGGATTTGGCCAGGACAATATTAATGTTTTTAATAGTTTGATAATTATGTCAGATACCTGCGGACATGACTTTAATAATGCCTTGAACACAATTAATTTCAGTTAAAACCTGCCTTAGCCTAATTGACTCTAGCCTGAATGTATGTTTATTATGTTCATGTTTTATCACTTGTTTAGGGTACTCAGCTAAAATAAAAAAATATTAGAATTTTGGTTCGTGGGGCAGAATAAAAAAAAAAAAGTAAAAAATAAATGATATAATATATATATATGTGTGTGTGTGTGTGTGTGTGTGTGTGTGTGTGTGTGTGTGTGTGTGTGTGGTCAGTATCTTTACTGACTTAACAAACTTTACAGAATTGAGCAAAGTATCCAGTATATATTAATTATCCTTTTGTACCCCTTGACAAGCTTCCTTGCTCAATTCTGTAAAGTTTGTTAAATCAGTAAGTCAGTAAAGATAATAAAATAGATTAGTAAAGATGACAAATGGTAGAAACGCACCAAATGTAGACAGATGATGCGATAAATCCAGCTCTGTGTCACACAGAGCTGGATTTATCGCATCATCTGTCTACATTTGGGCTTGACTCTTAGCAGCCAAGTTCAGTAACCATGAACTAAAGTTAACAAGTTTAAAAAAAAAAAAAAACTATCTAATAATGACTAAAGTAAATCAGTGAATTATAATGAGAGAATGCATAATCTGAACCATTTTTTGTGAGTGATGTGATGTTATTTATTTTTTTTTAATATGTGAAAGCATCTCTTGAATGTTAACATCTGACACAGAATGTGTTGGATAGGCTATTGTGTACAATAGCCATGTAGTAGCTTACGTGTGCATTCTCTGGAAGAACCCTGAAGAAAATCCCATAACCGTTTCCCACGAATTTGTGGTGATGATGACGTTCATGTGCGCGACGTGATATTTCCGACAAAGTCTATATGGGATCAACTCAGGGGCGTTGCTAGACATTAAGCTCTACTGGGGCACAGGCCCCCCATTGTTTGTCTGAGATAGCAAGCGTAACTAAGGAGGGCGGGGCTTACCGATAGATAAATTAAATTTGTTTGGTTCAAAAACACCATGCTGGGTATAGAGTAACTTAGGGGGGTTCGGGGGCATGCTCCCCCGAGAAAATTTGGATTTCTCGGACCTACATATGTGCATTTTAAGGTGTTTGAATGCCAACAAATTGGATAACAATAGCTTTAAAATCATGTTACACGAATTTCTTTTTTTTTGTGCCATAAAAGGCAACACTGTATGAAAATAGAAAACTTTAGAAAATAGAAAACGGAGAGAAAACGTTCTTGCACATTTGCATTCTTCTACATTGCACAATGTTAATAATGAATAATTAGCCTTTATATTTTTCAAGAATTTACAATTAGATCATTTCAATAAATCAATAAAGAGTTAATATATACTATATAAAATAAAGAGCATGTATATTCTAAAAGAAAACAAAGTTCCCCAGCCAAGTCCAAACTAAGTTGATTTATTTGTTGAGCATTAAACTGTAGGCTATACCGCCTATGCTTCATTTTGGCAAAACGGTCAATCACTTGACTCTGACTCAATTTTACTTTTAAGATTATTTGTATTATTTAGAAACTTTTGTTTCGTCATGTTTTCATAGCCTACCTCGCGTGCCAACACCGGACTTCGGTGTGCTCAGATGTGTGCGCGCTGCTGTTGCTAGGAAACACAGACGCGCGCGGATTTCTGTCGCGTGGGTCAGCTTCTGTTTCGGTTAAACTGCGTTGCTTTTACAAGCATTGATTGGTTTATTACTGCGTTGCAAATAGATCATTTCTATTACCCTATAATATAATTTATATTAAATACACTGACAAATAAAATAAATGCTTAACTCAAACTTCAGATTTACTGGGGCACAGCAGATTTATACTGGGGCACGTGCCCCAGTAAAATGGGTCTAGCAACGCCCCTGGATCAACTAATCCCTTTTGTAATTTCACCCAGATTTTTAAACAGTTAAATAGACTTACTATTACTATACTACATACTATATATTATACTACTGTGTATTTTGTGACATTAAAAAAGCACGTACCTTATAGGCTTTTATTTTGAACGTGACGATTTTAAGGTGCCGTAATAGTGACTTCCTTCCCGTTGTTTTTAGTGCTGCTGCTGAGGGTAATTTACTTGTTATTGTTCGCAAGCTGGTTCTTTCACAAACACAGACAGATGATAGTGCACTGAGACACGCTTCAAATACGTGCAAGGAAGCGCGCCCACGAGCGAGCAACGGTTTGTACATGTTTTGTCATCACGTGACAGAAATACTGCGCTTAATTGTATTTTTTGTCTGGAACGGTATAACGATTAGCCAGTTTGCTAGTCATCATAATGCAGAACAAATGGTGCATTATGCATGCATCACTACACTACATTTAAGAAGAATGCAGCCCATGTCATAACCTGGCTTGTTGTTATAAATGTTTTGATTGTGGATGGTGTGTGTTAAAGTGAATGGTAACGTTAGCTAACTTACTGACTGTTTTACTATGTTGCGTGCGTGTTTAAGAGAGAAGACAGATGCTGGTCATCTGACAGCTCGTTAGTTATTTCATGCAAGTTATATCATGTATGTGATATGTAGCCGCATTCGCATCTGCATTTGATACTCTGCAGAGAAATTAAAGTATAGATGTCATGAGTATGTTGGGCTGACAGACGCTCTCTGTGTCTAAACTCAGATCATAAACTGAACAGACGGAAATATGAACGATGCGGATTCAGCCACGAGGAAGCACGCGAGTTCCCGAGAGTTACAGAGTGAGTGCACGGGCTCTAATCGCAGTTGGTATTTATTGAACGTTACCTGTGAGCTGTGAATTATTTCCCAGAAGAATAATGTGCGTCCTACGTGTTTTTAATCATCATTCTTCAGCACCCAAGAACGAGGATTCCTATGAAATCTCCATTCCCTTTGAAGACAACAACTTTGAGCAGCAGGGAGGCTTCTACAACCAAAATGACCAGAACTTTGATGGTCAGTTCAGTTGAGTATCACTTCTTTTTGTTGCAAGCTGTGACCCACTATGTACACTATGCACTTGTCCTTTAACTGTTCACGCCAATTACGATAACTGTACCAATAAATTATTAATTAAAAAAATGGTTATACATTTTAATGAACATCATAATGATAACGATATTATTGACCCTTTTCACATTTCCTGGTTTCTCAGAACCGGAAGTCGTCATAGTTGGGTAAACTTCTATAGGTGACTGAGAGAATACATTAATATATTTTTTGTGTTTCCTTTTGGTCAAAATAGCAAAAGAAAAACTCCACAATAGTGTTTTCACAACTTTCAAAAAGAGAAAGAGAATAGGTAACAGCAGTCAGAAGAGAGAAAGATGCATTAAATCGTTTTTTTTGTAATTTGATGCAAAGGTAAATAATAAAAAGTATAGTGTTATAAATGTACATGCATTTAAAAAAAAAAATGTAAATAGAAAAAACTTTGCAAGCTGATGATCGAACGCATCATCACTTCAGATTTTTTTTTCCACCAATCAGAATCCACCTGATTTTAAAGAGATCGAGCATTTAAAGTGGCAGCCATCATAAAGCGTGCGCTTATAATTATTGTCCGTTGGTGTGGACTTTAATATATTTATCTTTATAAGGACCTTTACTAACCCGAATATCGTTCCAAAACTATAAAGGCCCATTCACACCAAGAATGACACCTCTAGGCTATAACGATAAAACCAATGTCCAAAACCAGTGTTCAAACCAATGTACAAAATGGTTCTGTCCATCATAATCACATCTGTTGCTGGATTCTGATTTGCTGTAGATGTTTTTATTGTTTATCAGCTGAAAAAAAAAAAAACATTCTGAAAGTGATTTCAACAATATTGTTTCTCTTTGCCATTATCCTAATAACTGTGGTGTAGGCTTCCCTATTCTCACAGGATTTAAACAATTATTAAAACTTTATTGTTGTAGATATCATTTATAGTTTTTGTCCGTGGTGTGAACCGTCCATAAGTCTTTAGTTCATCTTTGGGTACACAAATTAAGATATTTTTTAATGTTCTCTCATATTGATTTTTAATATTGAATGTCATAGGTTCTGGCACATCAAGCACACACAGTTGAGCTTCTTTGTTTGCCATATTTAATATGCCCTATGTATGTCCGTTAATCAATGTTTGTTTATATGAATATCTTTTCATTATATAATACAATTGTGTCTCTTCTGAAGACTTCAGAAATTCCTATGGATTACTTTTATGTCTTTTTGTACGTTAAGTTTTTGTTTGCATGAACTTTCAATGGATGGTCAAAAAGGATGAGAGAAAATTAAAAATATCTTCATTTGTGTTCTGAAAATTAACATGTATGTCTTATGGGTTTGAAACAACATAAGCGTGAGTAAATGATGACTGAGTTTTCATTTTTGGGTGAACTATCCCTTTAAGTGCTGTATGTCAATGTGGGATGATATTTGCTTATGTTGTGATACAGGTAGTGATCCGCCAGCACCGAGCAACTCGTATCTGTTGATCACTAATTTGCGGACACAACTGCAGATCTCGCTGGAGAAAAATTCCTGGCTGCAGAAGCGCATTGAGGACCTGGAGGAGGAGCGGGACTTCCTGCGCTGCCAGCTCGATCGGTTCATCTTCTCAACCAAGAGTCAGGAAAGCAACGGTGAGACGAGGAGAGAAGTGACTGAAGCTGTGTCCCAATTCAAAGGCTGCTTCCTTCAAAGGACGTAGACATCAAATGCCACGCCTTCGAAGCCCGCAAAGGTCGAACCGAGTGTTGTTAAATGGCACGGTCTAGCCTATGGAGGACTGTTCTTGTCGCCTAGCAACTTGACAGCTACTGTTGATAAGTGACAGTTACTTTTTTGAAAGTTGGATTCAGCTGTCTGAAAAAAACAGGGTTCACAACTTACCTAAATATATTCACCTTGGTCTAGTTATTTACCAAAATGATGTAAAAATATATAATCGCATCTTAATAAGATATAATATAAGTCAACATTTAAAACACTTTAAAGATTCTTATCATTAGATATTCGAGTAAGCTGAAACCCAATTTAAAGGTGCAATAGGTTGGTTTCACGTGACGTCACGCTGCTGCATCGCGAGAGCGCGAAAATTTAGATGGAGGGCAGGAAGTGAAATAGCTGAGGATCTGCCATCAATGTTTTGTGTAGTTTACGGCGGCTCTAATCGAGAAAAGGGAAAGGGTTTTTTATAGAGTACCAAAGATTGTCATTCATAAAGGTGAGAAATGTAAAAAGCTCACAGAACAACGCCGTAAAAAGTGGATTTTTAACGTAACGTTACGTCTGCGGTTTGGGAGGAGCAGAGTCTGTTAATGCCGTGTCTCTGCAGCGACGGTATGTTAGCTAGCCAACGTGTTTTTTTGTGTCTGTGTTTATATAGCATTAGGTTGTCGTTCAGGGGATCAGTGGGAATGGGACATTAAATGATCAAGGTAAATTAGACTCAATACGGACTCTCCGTTTCCTCCATAGACGTATTCTCCATGTTTACTTCCTGATCATAATCACGTGACTGAAACCCAGCTATTTAGACTGAACATGTAATACACACACGCATGACATCAACATTTTCACACATTCCCGTTTTTGTAGTTTAGATTGTAGACGATAAGGGCCCTCAGCATTTTCAGGTGTAAATGAACGGCCAAAATGCATAAAAAGGTTTCCTTAGTTTGTGTTCCTGTAAAACAGATGTTCATGTACATGTTCTTGTGATCATATGCTGCAGAAGTCGGCCTGGGTATTGATACAGATTTAGGGGACTAAAAGAGTAAAACTGAATTTCTTTTTTCCCCTGCAGGTAATGATTCCAGGAGTTTTTCTTGGAGAAGGAGAAGAGAAAATGATCGGGGTAAAGTGTTATTTTAGTATTTATATACTATTATAGTTTTTTCATATTTTGAAATTGTTTATTTCTACATTTTAAATTTTCTTTTTTAATTTGTTTTCTTTTTCTTTTTATTTTATGTGCTTTTGTCTTTATTTTTCCTTTTTAATATTAATATTTTTGTTTAGTTTTAATTTTAGTTTTTGTTCTGTTTTAGTTTTTATTTATTTCCAGTTAGTAATTTTATTGCTTTCAGTTAATTTTTTCATCTAATATATATATATATATATATATATATATATATATATAATTGAATTCAGCTTTATTTCACTTAACAGAAATGTTTTAATAGTTTTGGTTTTAGTTAATTATAATAAACTTGTGAAGAACATGAATAAACCCTTATAAAACATCATACTTTAATAATTACAAGATGTTCCTTCTGGCCAAAGTCTGTTCTGTGTACGGTAAGAGGAGAGTGTTTACTGTAATATAAAGATCAGAATCAACTATAATCATTAACGTTTCAGATCAACAAGCAGAGAGCCAGCGGTTGGCAAACCGTCAATCATTCCAGCAGAGGCCAACCCAACAGACTTCAGCCAACTCCAAGGCCTTGAGCTCTGTTCCCGGTGCCGTCAGTGCTCAGATAAGTTCCATGTTCGGACCCCCCCACCCTCAGCCGCTCCTGCAGGGCCACGGTGGCGGCAGCACCAGCAGCAGCTGCAGTAGCAACAACAGGTCCCTCAATGAACTGCAAGGTGTGTCTGAAATGTGTTTAGTTCATATTGAAGGCTATGGAAACGAATATAGTGAATGTAGCCATGTAGGTTAGCAGATGCGCTTGGGAACTACTGTATATCGATATAAACGGTATCGCCTCATCCCATATAGTTTATAAAAAAATATATCGATATATTGTACAAACACGATATATCGCCCAGCTCCAACGTTTTTGCTCGACATCGTCATTGTGGTTGAAATATTCATGCCTAAAATTAAGAAAAAAAAGCATATTTAGTTTATTTACTTTTGTTTTAATTTCAGCAATCAACATTCTGCATAATTTCCCTGGATCTAATGTATTTTTGTAAATAATGTGTTGTCTGATCATCAATGATGAAGAATTTGTGTCTGGTGATCAAATCTTTTGATGTAAGGCTCAAGCTAAAAATATAAATGAAAATATTAATAAAAATATAAATTTCTATACGCAACTAACATTCTAATTTTAAACAATGTTTTGAAATGGATGAGTTGAAATGGAAGGAAATATTGAAGGCTACTTTGGCATACCTCCATGTATATTATTTAATGTTTAATATTAAGAGATTCATATTTTTTTCTAAAATGTCACCAGAAAATATTAATATTTAAAAATGAATGGGTGTGTCTAAAATTTGCCTTGTAGTGTATGCATGTCATATAATTACAAAATTTCTGTAATTAACACATTTTACATGATATCAACTCAAAATCAATAATCTGTCATGTGGACATGGTTATTATTTGGCTTTGTTAATATATGACATTACACAGTACCGTTCAAAAGTCTTTTATGGAACAAAAATACAGTAAACTATTTAAAATAATCATTTTAAATGTAATTTATATCTGTGATGCTGGATTTATATGTATGAATGTAAAGCTGGATTTTCAGCATCATTTACTCCAGTCTTCAGTGTCACATGATCCTACAGAAATCATTCTAACATGCTGATTTGCTGCTCAAGAAACATTTCTCATTATTATTAATGCTGAAAACAATTGTGCTGTTGTTTTTGTGGAAACGCTCTTTTTTTTTTCCGAATGATTTGATGCATAGTGAGCTCAAAAGATATGTATTTGAAATGAAAATATTTTGTAACATTATAAAGATATATTACAACGTCTGACTCAAGTACATCTACTTGTGCTGCTGCAGAATCCCTCTCTCTTCTGGGAGATGAAGAGGATGACTATCTCGAGGATAGCTACCTGGAGGAAGAGGAAATGATGTCAGGAGAGGATGTGATAACAGACAGCATGTCCCTCCGGAACATCGGCGCAGCTGGAAGACCCTCCGGCAGTCATCCAGCTCTGAAGAGGAGGAGGGTTTTCAGAATTGCCAGAGGGAGGGAAAGACAGAGAGGTGAGCGTGAGCATTCAGTGAGGAAACGTGACCGGCAAGTGATTTTTCTCTTTCTGAAGGCTTGTTCCTTTTTCTCTTTCTCTCCTTTTTGCTGCTGTTCCAGTGAAAGACGCAGCAGGTGTATTGTTCCGCTATAAAAAGATCCTGGTGACATACCAGAGGCTAAAGAATATGTCCAAGGCCTTCCAGATCCATGGTGTGGATCGTAATACGGTGGCCTCGACCACACCCATTGCTGAGCTTCTGCTGGTGGCCCCAGAGAAGGTGGCTGAGGTGGGCGAGTTTGACCCGTCTAAAGAAAAGCTTCTGGACTACGCCCGACGCTGTTACATCGCCCTCGACCCACAGACTCTCGGCAAAGTGCAAGCTCTGAAGAAGAACAACCTTCTCCTACCCATCTCATACAGGTATTAATACATGCATACATACAGGCGCTTAGCAATCATAAGCCCCTTTCACACAGCAAATTACAGTAATAATACCTGAATGATTTTACAGTAAATGCACAAATGTGCTGTTTTACCGGCAAGATCACACATCATTACTAAGATACCAGTAAACTCTGCCATGTCAATCATTAGAAATCATGTTACATGTACTTACCATAGTATTAACAGCATATTATGCATAATTACATTCAACTAACCCTAAACCAAACGCTAATTATATACTAAGAAGTACATGTTGTTAATTATTATTACTCAAGTGTATAATTACACTGTAACAAGAGCACCTTAAAATAAAGTGTAACTTTTTCTTTTCTTTTCTTTTTTACTTCTGAATGACAGGCATAAGAGGATGATCACATAGAACTCAGTTTTGCTCTTAAAAACATGATACGCATAATAGTCAATATAGCACTGCAGTTACTATAGTACACAATAGTAATTGCAGAGTGGCAGTGCTGATGAATGGAAATGAAGGCAAGGTCTCAAACGCGAGATGCAGCGCTACGGTCAGACGTCTGTCTAGCGCATGTTTATATTATGTCCAATTCCGACAGAGCTTTATGATTGGTCCAGAGCAGACTTCTTACATCAGCATGTTCTGACCCCGTATCTGCTCATACCGGTAATCTTGTTCTTTGTTTAAACACCGCTTTATACCAGGAATTTACTGGTAATAGTATTTTTAAAGGTCCTGCTCACACATGTAATTTACTAGTAAAGACTGTATGTGTGAAAGGGGCAATTGTAACACTTAAAATGTCCTTTTTTACACATTTTCTAATATAATCATTGTACATAATTAATAGCCTAAGTAGTTCACATTAAAAATATACCCAGCCGATAGCGATAAACCAAAAACTGTTCTCATGTTTGAAATTGCAGATATTAATTTAATTTAAATACATTTTTTCTAGATAAATAAAAAATAGCATACTTAAATTTAAAATTATAATTTAAAATGTTACAAATAAACTTATAATTTACAGTATGAAAAATTAATATTCATTTTGAGATTTGCTAAAGATGTACGTTACTATTAATTTATTGTGTTTTTAAAGATTACCTTTGCTGCCATCCAATGCTTAAAGTTAAGCTTAATGTAAATAATGAAAGTAGTGGAAATGAACATGCACAATTTAAAAATCGTATAAATATAAGTATTGTATAAATATTCAATATGAACAGGTACTGACAAAGAAATAAACTTACTAACTTTTTCCTACTGTTACTATTTCTGCCCTCTGATTTTTATATAGCTTTATGAAAGATTTATTGTTATCAGTGGGTCTTGATCAGGAAACATGAGCAGAATAAATTTGTGTAAATCATTCATATAACCATTCTTACAGAAACGGTTACATTTTGAAGTTGATGTGAGTTTATATAAGAGCAAGTTTATAAATGATTCAGAAATGCACATTCTTACATATACATGAGGTGCAAAATCCTGTTTTAAAAAACACTTTCATAAGCACATAAAAACTGACCATTGGATTGTCTTTTTTTATGCTCCTTCAGGTTGAAAGGAACGGATAATCGATAATTAGAAGACTTAGTGGAGTGATTCTCATCCTTCTGTACAGTGAAACCCCTTCACTATTTTAATGTACCACAGAACACACATCTACCATCTCAATCTCCACATTGTGCTGTTCAGATCCACTGTGCTCTGAACCAAGTCTACTATTATTACCTCTGTTTCCTCACTCATAGAGCTAGATGCTCACAGCTGCGGTTGGGCTGCACACTTATGCTTTCAGGTTCGCTATTTTTGGAAGAGAACTTGGTTCTCAAACCCACAAAATGGACTTCATAGTATCTGTTCAGGGGTGCGTTTCCCAAAAGCATGTTGGTAACGATGGAACTTGCGACCATAGTTGTTGTCGGGAAACGCAGCCCTGATTGATTGTTGCTATGGTTGAAGCTAGGGATGCTAACGATTAATCGACAATACATTAATTGACGATAATAATTGAATCGATACAACTTGTCAATGGTGGATTAAGCAAAGGTCATCATAATCGCGACGTAATCGGATCCTGAAAATCCTATAGCTTTAGCCTAGCAACATGTCATGTCACTGTGATCTATGCATTGTCTTATGTGGGTCAAAAGCATCAAGTGTATACTGGTTGCACGTGCGTTGATGGCGCTTTTTCATACTAATACTTTGTCTTTAACTGAAACAGATATGCTTGTTGTATTCTGCTGGTTGAGACCTTTTCAACAATATGTGTATCTGTTATACTGTACGATGATTTTACAAATCGCATTTTAATTTAAAGCAATTTTTTTTTCATGCCATGAAAATAGATCACTTATATGTCAGCAAATTTAAAAGCACTAAGTGATGGTCATATTCCCTATATTCACCTATTTTGTGTTGGTTAAACAAGTGGTTGTTAAGTAACGTGATACTTAGTAGCGCCCCCCGCTTCGGATTTAAGAGGTTAACGATTAATCGCTTAGTTGACCGTTACTTTAAACAAAGTTCGATTATGGGAATTTATGTAAATTGACATCCCTAGTTGAAGCTCAAGAAATTCCCTTCAGTTAAACATCAAACTGTAATGTCCAGTGATGACATCAGCCCTCTGTGCCGAGCAGTCGGCCTATGTGTTGCGCAGAAGTTCTCGGTTGGGTCATGTGATCCACTCAGTGGTCCCAAGTGTGTGTCTTTGTTCTCTGTATCTCATAGCACTCATACCTGACAGACTTTTGGGTTACACTTTATTTTGATGGTCCCCTTTAGACATTCTGTTGACTCTAAGTTACACCTACATGTCGACCTCAGACGTGACGTCCACGGACCGGTGCCTGAAGGTCTGATGCTTATGGCACACATAACTGGAAACACTTCAGTCATCGTAGTCGTCGTCTGGCTGGTTAAATTCTACAGGATGTCCGGGAAACGTGTGTGTCGCGTTCTTTAATGGTCCGCCTGGAAACAAAGATGCCGTGAAGCCAAACCCCCTCATGGAAGAAGAACGCCGTCATGTTTACAACTGTGACAATGAGCGCTTATTAGGATCAACTAAATGGTCTTCAATGAATAATGTATTAGATGCATGCCGGTCTGTTATTGTAGGGACATCGACTCTACATTTTCACGCCCCTAAACATGACGCGGAACAAAACTAACTGTGATTGGTTGCTTTACATGTCAGTCAGATGACCTCTGGGCGGTCGTTGGCTAATGAAAGCTGTGATGGAGTCCAGACATTCTGCCGTCAGTCTGAAGATCTGGCTACGCGAGACTACATGTCAACTAACTATCATTCGATTATTCGTTCAGTATTAGGCTACGTTCAGACTGCAGGTAAATGTGGCCCAAATCTGAATTTTTTGTTCACATGTGACTCAGATCTGTTTTTCTTGTGAACAGCACAAACCACATCTGATTCAATCTGGAATGGAATCTACCAATCTAATCTCTTCAATTGCAATTGGTATCAGATATGGGCCACATTTAAAACAACAATAGCTGCGTTTCCGTTACCCTTTAAATTGCGCAAATTGAAACTGCGAATTGAAAATACGCCCAATGGAAACACTGTAAATGGTTTTTACGCTCACATGAGGTGGTTTTTCAGGCAATTCGAAAAAGGAATATTTCACAGAACTGCAATGGAAACAGTTTTTCCGCATTTACAGGTCACATGGCGTACGTAAAATTAGATGTTTGGACAGAAGACGAGACAGAGTTCTTTATTAAACTCATAAAAGACAAACGAATTACAGGAATACTGGATTCTAAACAACAAAGAAATGCCACAATTTATCAAGACCTCAAAGCAGATTTGAGAGAGAATCACCCAGGAACACCTCCGCTCCCAAGTATAAGGGGCTTTCCTTGCCATTAAAGCTTGGATAACATGGCTAAGTCTCCTTCGATTAAAAATAATGACTAGTGCGGTGGCTGAGATATACGTAAACTTACCAACATCCGTTGACATGATTTTTGGAATGACATATCGCAAGAGGAAAAAATTCTGTTTCAGTCACATAACATTGATTAATGGAAACGGCGTTATTTTGCAATAGTTTTTTATCGACATTTAGAAAATATCACAAAAGTTTTGCGCAAATCTGTAATGGAAACCTGGCCAATGTGAACAGCGGATCTGAGCAATAAATTGGATATTGAGCGCTAAGGCAGTGTGTTAATAGAATAAGGGGTTAGGGTTAATAGAATAAGTTGACACATAGTTGCAAAGTCAGTAGAATGTCTGTTGGGGGAGCATCACAAAGTTTTAGCAGATATTAAGCAGTCTATTAATACTCTAATGATAGTTAGGTGACATGTAGGTGCAACGTTACTTCTAGTCTACAGAATGTCGAAAAGGGATGATCGAAAAGAGAGTGTTATAGACTTTTGAAATGCTGGATTTACTAGAAGCGGTGCACACACAGACCCATGCACTCCTCCCGGTTTAACACTGTGCGACTCTACACAAGCGGCGCCTGTATGTTCTCATTAGAACCACATTGGATTTGATTTGTGGGGTGTTTGTGCATGTGTCTCCCTTAATCAAGCCCCGATTCCTATTAGACGACACTGACTGTTCAGCATGTGAAAAGTTTAAATAGTGTAAATCAGTGATGATACATGTTAAAACAGTTGGTAAAAGTTCTGGTCTAGTCTAGTTCCACATAGTGCAGACGATAATGGTGTGTGAGGTGCATCAGTGGGTTCCTGTCTTACCTGGTGCTGAAGCTCTCATGAGTGTTTGTCGAATTCACTGTGTATGTCAGGATGCATGTTGGGTGTTTGTTAGTATGCAGCGAGTTTGAGATTAGACTATTCATGGCTCCTTTGAGCACGTATTTAAAGCTCCAAGTGGCTAATAAAAAAATGGCAAGTTTCTCTATCACAAACTTCCTATTCCTTACCATCAGATAATGTTTTCAGGAACACTATAATAAGTTTCAGTTTGTTAACATTAGTTAATACAGAAGTTGTCAACTAACTAAATTTGAAGAATAATTTTTATAGCATTTATTAATGTAGGTTAATGTTAACTTGTAAATACACTTTTATCCATTGTTAATTTTTGCTCATATTACATTGTGTATTTATACAACATTGTGTATTTATACAACATTAAATGCTAAAAATGTATTACTATATGTGGAAAATAACATTAACCTATTTTGCCCTTTTACAAAATCTTGATTTTGTTTTTGTGGTCTATTAGAATAGGTTTTCATGCTTTCAATGTTCAAAAACACCTTATTTTTCACATATTTTACTGTGGATGCATCTCAATCAGCTCCCTAGTACACTAAAGAAGGTTGAAAATATAAAAAAGCATAATAATAATTTGAAAGAAAATCCATTGTTAGTTCATAAAATCTAATGTTAACTAATTGAACCTAAATGTTTTGTTCGCATTATCTTGTACTTTTAATGTCATTTTACTCTGCAACCTTTGATTACGGGTCAGGGCTCAAGTAGATTTCAGTTTTGCCTCAGGAACCAATAATTTGTGGATATTTCATGTACAGTTCAGTTGATCCTAAAGCCATTTTTCACTGTCATGTTTTTTCCCCCTCTCTCTCCATGTAGCCAATAAGCTGTTTATGGTCTGGTCTTTTCTTGTCATACTGAGAGAAACATTTATGAAATGAATTCGTATTGATTCTGCGTACTGTAGATGACACTAAAACCTTTGATTTCCTATTGAATCCTGTGCCTCTTTACTCTTTCATTCTGATTCCATATTCCTTGAGGTCTTGCATAATTACAAGTAAAAATCAAAGTGCACTTGATAAAACTAAAAATCTCATCTGCTAAACTATTAAATGTTCTTTCAGGAAACAAGTAAAAAGTTTATTTTTTAAAGCATATTACAGTGATATGCCACTCTGTTTTGAACAGGGATGAAATTATTCCCTGGAAACATAATACTTTATATCTTTAAAGTTAAAAACCTATATTATGTACATTGCAGGAATTATATACATTGTTATAACCTTGGGTGTTCCACCATATTTTAAGTAGCCATGTATAATTCATGATCCTGAATAAAATTATCACAATTTGTTAAAGGAAAAGTTCACAATTTGTTAAAATTTGTCCTTATAGCATCTTGTGTCCTGGAGCACAACAATCTCCTCTTTCTCCACGAGGCTGCAGTCAGAACGATTTAATATTCCATGTTGAAAAGGACCGTATTTCACTGATTCCACCGTCTTATATCCAGCTGTCCTTGGTCCTCAGTGAGAGAACTCACTCATAAAAGGGGAAAACGGACAGATTTTCTGTCCAGAGTGACACCCCACTTCCAAATTATAAGACAAGTCTTTACACGATGCTTACATAAACACTTTGCATAGACGCTCATTTGGAGCAGGTAATGCATTTGGCTGTGCCATTTGCAAGAAATCCTGAGATATCCAAGAAGCTCTGTTGGCACAATTCAGCATCATCCCAGAGTCTTTCTCAGGGTGTGGAATACCCTGACATATCGCCCGCATCACCCTTATCAGCTCGAGTATATCCACAAAATAAATAGAAACTTCCCACATAAGTCCAAAGTTCTTGAAGGTCTTTTTACACAAGACTTTAAAGTAACATTAAAAAACTGTGGTTGAATAAGTCTGCCTGAGAACCTTGAAGAATGTACATATGGCTTCACAATGCAGCTGTAGCAATTTTCATGGTGTCCTGCAGGTTGCGCTTTCTTGTTTTGTCGCTGACTATTGTCTCCAGGTGAGATTCGGGGGCCCATCCACGTTGCCTGTCTGACAGACGGGTTCCTTCCACCCAGCCTGAAGGAAAGGAAGAGAATTCCATTCAAGGAATTTTTGTCAAAACATTCATTTCCAATTCAATAAGTCTCCTTGTAACACAACATTAGCATCATGCCCGGCATATCTAATAGGAACTGGTTTTGTTAGTAGTTCCTAAGAATAAACATACAGTATGCTCAGTGGAGTATTAATTCATTTATCAGTACTGTCAAGTCTCTTTTGTTTATATAGCGCTTATACAATACAGATTGTTTCAAAGTAGCTTCACTTAGGAAAATAAATAACAATCAATGATGTAAACATCATCTCATAGACAAATTCTGCTGTAAAGTTCTGTATTATTTAACTCAAGTCGAGTGTTGATTCCTTTCAATTCAATACTGGCGTAAAATTCATTAATTATGAAATGTTCAATTCAGCATTAAGTACAGAACACAGTGGTGTCATCCACCTCAATTCAGTTCAAGTTTTGTTCTCAGCTGACAATTACTAATTGTCAGTACAGTCAAATCGATAATATTGGTGAATAAGTGTACAGGACACCTCATCAGATTCAGCACTACCCGTTTACATAAACATTCTTTCACGACAAGAATTTATTCCTAATTGCCACAGTTTATTAGCCTGAGAAAACCCAGACAACTTCCGGCAAATTTAGATTTGCTCTGAAAGTTAGTCTGGCAAAGAGCTCATTCAAGCCCATTTCCAATCCGTCGAAATCGAGGCACCAATCAGAAACGTTGGGGCGGGCTTTACACGATGACGTCAGCGCTGGGATTTTGTAGCCTACATTACAAATATGGATGCCGCCGTCAAACATCACTCGTTCGAATCAGCTATCGTGTCTGTTTTAAACGATTTAAACGTTTCCTTTTTGTTAAAAACCGAGCAAAGAACAACACTCGGAGATGTTTCTCCGCCGCTCTGCATACGTCATCTCCTTCATCGCTCTGATTGGTTTTAGGTCTATCCGCGACGTCCGTCGGTGACGCCCCTCTGGAAATGATTTGTCTATGACGCTTTGCCAGACCATAACTCAGTTACAACTGAGAATGGTCTGGTTTTAACTAAGGCTAACAGTTTATCACACCTGATGACCCTCTAGGGCAAATGACAAAACGTCTTGATTAATAGCCAAATCCAGTTTCTGAATTTTACCAGACATTCTACAACAGGGGTATTCAGTCTTGCTCCTGGAAGGCCACCTTCCAGCAGAGTTTTGCTCCAGGCCTGATTAAACACTCCTGAACTACCTTATCGAGGGCTGCACCGGATATCGCATGCTTATTTTTTGAAATAAGTACCTACTCGAGAGTAATGGCGCTTTTCCATTACCAGTACCGACTCGACTCGGCTCGCTTTTGGCTCCGTTTTCCATTGCAGACAGTACTGCCACAAATAGTACCCGGTCATCATAGCGACGCCGCAGGATACTGCCGTGACACAATCTTATACGCGAGTATACGAATCTTATACAAAGGAAAGTCTGCACCTCCTCGTTTGACCACGGCGTATTCTTCCGAGTTGCCATAATAATAGTAGTAAGTTTAGTAACTATCTCTGGCCAAACTATTTAAAAATGGCGGGGTTATACTGGATACTCCATCTGGCGCGTGCAATGATGACGCAGTGAATAGTGACGATTCTCTCTGACCAATCAGCAGTCGGCATTGTTTTCACGTCACATTTTAGTATCGCCTCAGCTCGCTCAGAACCTCGCCGGAGGTGATACAAAAAAAAGTACCCGAAAGCAGGTACAGGTACAACTTTTACACAGTGGAAAACCAAACAAAGTCGAGTCGAGTGGAAAAGCGCCATATGTGATTTCGGACGCAGCTGAGGTCCTCAGGATCACAAGAAACTTCCAGGCAGGTGTTGGAGCTAAACTTTGCAGGAAGGTGGGCCCTCCAGGAGCAGAATTGGACATATAGAAAGTAAAAAAGTACTTGCGAAGTAACCTACTACTCCAGAGAGTATGCAATTTCGGACATAGCCACTTAGTTCAGTTAAAGGAGCTCTTGCCTTTTGAGCTAATGATCTGAATCAGGTGTTGAATAAGGGTGACAACAAAATGTGCAGAGTGATGGGTCCCCAGAAGCTGTGTTCAAAATCACCCCATATACCCTCATTCACTTTTCCCTACATTACTCCACTAATATAGGAGTGAATGGAAACCAGTGAGCAAATTTGGACACCGAGTGCACTGAAAGGGCTGCCACTTTTGCATAGTTTGAGCTTGCTGTTTAATGGTAGGTTCAGTAATGAATAGATTTATTGTGAACTCTTGACATGGAAAATCTGTATTCAAACTTTAAATAAACAATTTAATACTCAATTAAAAATGTTATACCCGGATGATATTTTGATATTACGCTGTAGCCACCTTGGACCAGCAGTTTAGAAAATGGATGGATGGAGGATTCACCGGCGGGCACCATATTCTGGCGAGACCCGGGAATTCATTCAGCGCAAACCTCACAGTGCGTTATGGGTATTCTCTGGCCTTTGAGTGTACATCAGTTGTACACTTGTTATTCTGGTGCATTTTGGGATTGAATGAACATACTCGATAACGTCCACACAAATGGCTGTTCCCTCCAATAGTGCCTTATTTAAAGCTCCTGTAGGTAACTTTTGAAAACATGTATTTGCTAAAACTGTCATTATGTCCTGACAGTAGAATATGAGACAGATAATCTGTGTAAAAATCAAGCTCCTCTGGCTCCTCCTAGTGGTCCTATTGCCATTTGCAAGAAATACACGCTCCCTGTCAGAAACAACCAATCAGAGCCAGGAGGAGTGTCTTAGCAGTGTCAGTCACGCTCGTGTATGCGCTGATCACACCCCTCTCTTGCACAGCGCGAGCGCCAGAGCGCGAGCCGTCGTTCAAACTCAAGATTGCCGGCGAGCTGCAGCTGTGCTTATGACGGAGAAACAACCTAAACGGCCAATTCTCGAGTGACACCTGCTCATAAAACAAAGAGGTAAAAGGAAAAAGACTGATGACGATAAACAAGCGAAAAAGAAAGAATTACACAGAGCCCATTGACTCGGTGTCAAAACTCTAGCCGCATAACATGTAGATAAAATGTCACGCACTCTGCTAAGCAACAATTGAAACCTGCTAATTCACTGGCTTGTCATGTTGCTGAAATAATGTACTAGCACACCTTATCTAGCATTATATATCGCTAGAATAATTACTTACATGCTGTAACGTTAGTTACCGTTATATTAACGTTATCTTACTAGCTATTTATAACTTATAGAAAGAGTGCAACGTTATAAAGTTACATGTAGGCTATTGGAAAATACATAATGATTTGAGGACCAAGTTTGTAGTCAAAGTATGGGCAGGCCATAGTCAATGTAAAGCATATTGTTGACGTTTAGTCTCTATTAGTGAATGTGCCATATAACTTTTTATCCGCTGTTATCGGTGGCCGTGTTTACTAGCCTGCGCGTTCACGACAGGCTCCGCTGTGGAGGACGAGCTGTGGAGGGAGGGCTGTAGCGCAGCAGAGAGCAAGGGGGTGGGACCTGTAAGCTGTGCTTGTTCAAATTTTCAGGCTAAGTCAACGTTTTCTCAAAACTCCCTACTGCAGCTTTAAGAGTATAGGGGGTGATTTCGAACACAGCCCAGGATTGAAACCCACTGCCTTTAGCTCAATCCTCAATCAAACACACCTGAAACCTAACTCTTTAGGATTGTTTGAAAATTACCGGCAGGTTTGTTTGATTAGGGATGGAACTAAGCTCTGCAGAGTGGCCATCCAGGACTGAAGTTGCCCATTCCTGCATTAGGAGAGATTTGATATGTCAGATAAGGGAGGCATCCTAAATGTGCACTGTTGGGAGTATCCTCCAGGGACAGGGTTGTTAAACACTGATCTAGATGGCTTGAAGCAACAAGCTGTGAAGTGATCTGCTGAGGACAAGACCATTCAATTCAACTGGTGGAACAGGGAAACACAGACAATGCTCGATAGTCTGTTTTAGCTGACCAGGCGAGATAAGAGCCAGTGAACCTTTGCAAATGTTGTTAGGACTTGTAGAATCATCGCAAATAGGCTTAAGGCATTTTCCAGACTATGTTCTGGAGGTCTTTAGTAGTAGTTCTTAGTATAACTAAGCCAAAAGAAGTTGCTCTAAATTTGTGGACTGTCACTTACCCTATTCACAGGTATAGATGATGATCATGATCTACAGTACATGAACTCACTTGAAAAAGCTTAGGAAGTTGTAGTAAGTTCTTGGACCTTAGACTACTACAAAGAATTGTCCCATTTCCCTTTTTGTTTATGGTCTACACTGCAGAATTCTAAAACAACATAAGCTTATACTACTAGTTCCCCAAAATCTCTTCTGCATCAACAGTGGAGATTAGTCTCACAAGTCTCATAATGTTGGTTATATACTTCCAGTGGAAGTTCCAAGACTAGACAATAACTGTATGTACTATACAAAAAGGCCAATCCAGGCTCTGCTGGCAATTCTGTGCATCATCACCACGACACTATAGTTCTTAGTGCTACAATCTTGTGGTTAAAGATGAGCTTAACCAAAGTTGTAGGTTCAAACCATTTTGACTTCTGTGATCCATGAACTATCACCATTGTACCCTTGAGCAATGTGAACAAAAGCCGAATTTCAATTCAATCGTGTCTCTTCAGAAAATTTGGACTAAACCTCTCGTTTCATATGAATTAGATTTGCAATCTCTTAAAGCATCAAAAAGTAGTTGCGTAGCTGTCAATAAAGGGACAGAAAGCTCTCAGATTTCATTTGTGTTCTGAAGATGAAACGACATGAGGGTGAGTAAATAATGACAGAATTTTCATTTTTGGGTGAACTAACCTTTTAACTTTAGGTTGCTCCAGAATAACTGGCCTTGTAACTGTACAGCAATCTAAACGTGGTATTGTTCAATAGTAATGTTTTGCACGTGGTAGTGTACTGTTGTAGAAACCAAATAGAGGTGGCCTCAGGTGTAGCGATAGAAAAATAAATTCTATTCATGATGCGTTAGAAAGGAATCTTTCCTTTATGTGCTCATGTGTTTAGCGTTATAACTCACCATCACTACTCTGCTGGTGAATTAATAGAACGTCAGCTTTCTCTAAACTAAGTTCATCTGGCTGCTGGGCAGCAAAGGCTCTGATGCACTGCATTTGTGAAAAGTCTGCAAATGGGAAAAGAGATAAATTCAAATTGTTAGCATTAGAATATTTATTTTGAAATTGCAAGAGCAGGAAGTGGAACATACCCTGAACTGCACTGAAGTCAATCTCAGGATAAGGACGTGAGAGTGCTGATATCCAGCGCAATTTATCAGCTCTGAGAGAAGAAGGGTACAGATTAGTTTAATGCATAATTCTGCTCAACCAGATAGCAAAACACTAGACTGCCTGATTGAACTACATATATGCAATAAAGTTTTCCAAGTAACAAATTTTACAAATGACGAAAACCTACAGCAGGGATGTCCAATTCTGCTCTTGGATGTCCACGTTCCAAGAGTTTAGCTCCAACACAGTTGCATGAAAGTTTCTAGTAACCCTGAAGAGCTAGTTCAGGTGTGTTTAATCTAGGGTACGTTTAATGACAACAATGATGTACTAAAACAGGAAAGTTTTATGTTTTTCGCATACAGACAATGTTGTCAAAATGATCCCCATTCACATGGATCCGCGAAAACGAGCGCACAGCCATCTTTAGAATTTTGTCTTTGAACTTCCGGTTTTGCGGTATCTCTATATATTTCTATGGCACCGCTGTCGAAGAGTAATTAGCTGGTGAAGTGGTTTTACTTCTTGAAGAGTTATCGAAAGTTATCATGAACTTTGTAATGTTTGAAGCGGATGTCATAATAAATGTCAATAGACTGGGAAGATTTTCAAACGAGTGTTTCATTCATAAATCCGTAAGATCTTACCTTCATGCTGTGGAAATACAAAGCGGAAAACAGAACACAACGACTATTTGGATCGCAAGCATCTTGCGGGCTATCATTTTTAATAACAATTCCAGTTTCGCCATGATCTTGCGTTATTTCGTTATCACTTATTGCGTGTGTTTGGTTGTTAAACAAAGGCTGAATCTGAAATCGCCCCCTATACCCTCAAATAGGGTGTTATTTTGAGGGGACAGCCATTTTTAGTGGTGTTCGAAACCATAGTGGATGTTATTGAATGCACTCCTGCAATAACGAGTGTACACTGATGTACGCTCAACAGCTGTCCGAATTCGCTCACACGTTTTCATTCAGTCCTTCAATTGAACTGTATTAGTAAACTAACGTAGGGAATAGTGAATGAGGGTTTAGGGGGCGATTTCGGATTCAGCTGTAATTTGCGGACCAGACAAAGTTGTCGGAGATTCTTCCTATTGTAAAGTCATGCAATGTGTAACCTCCTGTCTCTGATCCATTGTGCAATGTGCACACAGCAGCAACCGAATGCTAACCCAGATAGTCGTGCAGTGTGAAAAGAACAGTGATCTGAAGACTTTGAAAATCGTGCAATGTGAACTCGGCATAAGGCTAGAGCCAAACTCTGCTGGAAGGTTCCCCCAAAGGAGCAGGACTGGACACCCCTGCGCTACAGCCTTGTAAACATACACATTGTAAGACTTACTGGGTGTCTGTCTTCAAAAGCAGGGCTTTTTGCGACATGTGCAGACGGAACAGGTTTTTCTGTAAGGAATGCAGTTTGAACCTGCAGTTCTCAACCCGCAGCTCTGACACAGGAACATGGTCGATAACTGTAAACCTACCCCCTCTGCAAAAAGGAAGTTAAGCATAGTTGCAGCATAAAAAACATTTATCTTTTTTTTAAATAATATGAATGACAATTGAGAAATGGATGTTAATGAAGGTCAAACATACTCCTTCCGCAAAGAGAGCAGGAGATAGTCGTTAAAAAGGTGCATATAAGCACTTCTTTCATCTTCCCTGTCTCTCAGGTAAAAGTCTATCAGTTCAGTCACAGGTCCCTCTCGTACAAGTCTGCGGGACTGACTGATCAATGGAAGAGTCTAACAGACACAAATAAAATACAGTCATTATAAATATCATTACTTAAATGGCATACAGTACAAATGAAGTTGCTTAATGTGTCATGCTCACCCTACACTCAAAGTCAACTTTGGCATTGAGAGTCACAAGTGACTCAATGTTCTTCATTTGAGAGATACTTTCATTACTTTCCTGGATCATCTGTAAAGCAGCAAATAAGCATGGGACAGTGGTAAGAGAGAGAAACTGAGAAAACTGATAAGAAATTCCAATGCAGAGATGTGGGTGACATAACCACATTGTTTCAAGTACATAAAGAGTAGTCTCACCTTTTCAAGTAGTTTCATGGCCTTAATGGCCTGTGCTTCATCCTTGGTCTTTGGAGCGGTTCTCTTTACTATATTCTACCGATAAAGAAAAGAGAGCATCGATGATCATGTTGATATACTATTGGCTTATTTGGACAACATTCGAACATAGATGAAGAATGTGAGAGGCAGATTTAAACAGGACCGGTGAAGACATTACCTGCACTAGCAGTTTGAGGCGAGTGATCCTTTGGAACGGCAGAATGAGGAAAGATCGTAAAGGCAGTCGTTGACAAACCGGGTTACGCTCTAACCTTTCCACAACTTTACGGAATTCATGACTCTCGTCCCTATGAGAGATGGTGGAAAGAATCAAAGAAATCGTATGGACAAGAATAAAAGAAGAAAAGCATGTTTCCACTTCAGACAATTGCAAACAAATACTCACATTAATCTTTGATACGTCTTGTCCTGATATGATTGGTTGGTAAGGTATGGCACATACATGTTTCGGAATTCTGGACAGTGTTTGATAATGATGTTGCAGACGGTAAAGTGCATTATGTCCTTCTCTACTGTTTCTTCCAGGTGAGACAGAAACCTAAATTAAAAGAAGCATATATTAGTGGCATAATTCAGATTTCAGAGCAGACGATTTAGAATTGACTCCAGGATGTTGTCAGAGTTCAACTGGAAGACGATTGGCTGGAGATGAAGATTTCATGCACATTTAATGAGTCAAAGTTGTCAAATGGTGTCAGCAGCACACACAGTAGATGTAGAGAACTGAACATTTTTCTTCAGTAATTCTGTTATTGTTCAATGACACTATTCTAACCTGTGACTGATGGTTCTAACATCATTTAGCCTGGAGAACAGCCAGTTTTTGTCTTGTGAAGACAGGATAACATTGAGCTGCTTGGACATGACAAAGTTCTCCACTACGATGTCCAAACTGCGGCAGTATGATGCCTCAGAGGTCACGACCTCAAACCTCACCTGAAAAATACAGATTATTTGTGGTTATGTCCTTACTAGTAAAAATGAATATCTCACAATGTTGTTTTATATCTTATTGACAAACCTTTTCTCACAATTCCATATTGTCCAGATTGTGTGTACAGTGGACACTTAAGTCAAGCTTAAATATGTATGAATTTCATCGCATTTGATAACAAAATATTCTCTTTGGTAAACTCTTCTGATTGTTTTGTTGAAAAGCATGCCTGTGCTGTTTGTCTTTAAAATATATGGCACTTGGTTTGAAACGTTATTATCTAGCAAAATGGCATGTATATATTTTTAAGTTTATGACTTAGGGCACTTTTACACGCCAACGATGTACTAAAAGCGGGCAAGTTTAGCTTTTGTGTTTTTCGCGTACAGTTGATAACGATGTCAAAATGATCCCCGTTCACATGGATCCGCGAAAACGATGAAAAACACTCTATTCTGCTGCCAGGCCAGTTGTTGGCAATGTCAATTTGTAAAGAAACACTACGCATTTATAGACTTAACACGTAATATACATGCGCATTGCATCACCATTTCACAAATTGGTGTTTTACACAGAGACGATAACGATATCGCTTTCAAAAACTTGCACTTTGAAACCCGTTTTCAAAAGTTTGTGTTTTCAGGCCTCCAAAACGTTATCATGTAAATAATAAAGCGCATACAATTTTTTCCGTTTTTAGTTGAAAATGGTGTCGTGTAAATGGCCCTTAGTTTTTTATGGCAACTGAGTTTTGTGCAATGTTAGGTGATACTGAATTAATAATTCTACCTCCTGCAGACGTCTCGCATCTTCATTGAGTTCCCCAAAATCTGGGCTGTTCCTCACTCCCGGGAGCTCCTGCCACAGTGTGGGTGAGGAAGCAGAGATGGACAGGCGAGGGGAAGGTGGTCTGTTTAAGGATTGCTGAGGCACATTAAGACTTTTAAAGGAGTTGGTTAGAGACAGAGTGTGGTGGATGACTTGAGGGAGAGGTGGGAGAGGTCTGTGTGATAGCTTAGGGGAATGATTTGGAGAAGAAGATGAACGGATATTGAGATTGTCTCCACTTATTGATATAGAATCGGTATGAGACAGCAGGATCTCTCGGTTCTGGACCACCTCACTGTATTCCTGATACAACTGAGAGTCTGCAAGAGAAAGAGACAAGAGATATCATTATCTATATGGTTCTAGAGCAGTGGTTCTTACCTAGACTCTGATTTTATATTGGATATCACTGTAAAAAGTGATCAGTTGACTTAACTTTTTTTTTTAAAGGTAAGGAAAACCCATTGGTTTATTTACTTAAAGTCCCCCTGTGGTGAAAATCAAGTTTTTAATGTTGTTTATATGTCTGTGTGGTGTTTTTAATATGCTTTAAGACAAACCATGTACAAATTCATATCAGCCAGCTCCATTGCTGAGTGTCTTCTCCTTAAAACTGCAGTGAACCAAAGCCAGTCCCAAAATTGCTCTTTGAAATCGCTGGTGTCTCTGACGTCACAAACTATCTTGTTACCAATCACGTCAAAGTGTGATCGTCAACGAGTGGATCTCTGAGCTGGTGTGAGTGAGTGGAGGCGGGGCTAATTTGCATATTTATAGAACTGCATACACTAAATGAGGCAATGGTGTAAAGTTATATTCAAGCTATTTTAAAGCATGAAGACATTTTTAAAGGAAAAAACATTTAAATATGTCATTTTGGTGATAAAAGTTGAATTTAAAGGGATACAATTATTGACTACAGGGGGACTTTCATTTTAAGGCAATGGGTTTTCCTCACTTTTTTAAGTTAAGTCAACTGATCACTTTTTAGAGTGAGGTACTAAAATGTTTAATCACACAAAATAAACAAATGTCCTTAAAATCAAACAATGCCATTTATTAATATTACGAGGAACTTCATAAGCAACCATTAATTCGTACAAAATACATTGTGGTTGGCACAAACCAGCCATGTTTATTTTCATTGCAATTGATCTTGTGTTTAATGCAAACTGGGTAATATCTTTTACCATGGGTTGAGAGTTTTTCATGGTTTTTTAGGATGAGGGCATGTCATGCAACTTGCCTATGCTGGCATTAGGCATAGCTTTTACCAAAAAAACAGCTGAATTTGCACCAAACATATGGGAAGTGTTTTCTCCTGCCTTTAAAACGTGACTACGTCTATTTAATTTGTTTTAACTATGCATAACTTTATGTTTAGTTGCATTTTGTATTATTTGGATTTAGCATTGTTTTTTTCTGCTTTCCACAACCCTCCCCAGAACAGCAGGTCAGTAAATTAGAATAGCTAAACAAGTTGTACAAGCACAAACATCCATGAATGTTTTTTTGTTTTTTTTTTGTAATTGCAAGTTAGTATTTGCAGCTGTTTATCTGCAGTTCCAAGTGATGTGCAAGCACAAACCTGTTCTTTGCCTTGAGGCCTAGCAAAGTAGCATAGTTAGGAATGACAAAACTTTCACTGCTCTGAACATCTTAACTATAACCCATGTAAGAACCATGTATTTAATAGATTTTACACATTACATCCAGTTACAATCATATTATGTACAGTACAACAATGAGTACAGAGGGGCACGTAAAAAGGTTCTTGTCATGTCAACAAAAAAAGGGATATATGTATGTTTTTTATGTGCCTTTGTAATGTTTTAATGAACTAATCATCTGTTATAACCATGTACATATACATTGTCATGTACATGTAAAGATCAGCCATGTGTTGCATAACAAGAAAAGAAAAAAAACCCAGATACTTACTGAAGAATTTAGAATTCCTATTTTTTGTCCTCCCAAGTTTCCTGAAAGTAAGACAGAGAGAGAGAGAGAGCAAATGATAACTGAGATATTATGGTCATTTGTAAGACTTTCCACAAACAGAATACTGCCAGAGGTGATGGACTGCATTAAGACCCTATATGTGGTTGGTAACCCCTATTTTGGAATATGGGACATATACATGCTGTAAAGTCTGGTTCTCCTACCTTAGATCCATTTCACTCCAGGTGGAACTTAATTCATCCTCCTCACTATCTATACAACCAAAAACACAGAAATCAGCACATAACACAATGCTTTTATTTGGCATCATACTTCTTAATCTTCCCTTAACCAAGATAGAATTAGAATTTAAGCAGCCGAAAACAAGTAATATGTCAACTCAAGCAAAACAGATGGGGAATGCTTTACATGGACCTACACATTTTGTACAAAAGGAAAACGCTTCAAGATCTTGCTTTCCAGTGAATAACTGAACATAGACTAGACTGTAAGACCTATGGCGCAATTCAACAGCTCTAATGGAAATGTGGCAATATACTAATAATAACCCTAATGCAATAAAAACAAATCTGAAGAAACAGGAAAAGGTACTGTGGGAGGACTTGTTAGTGATCACATGAGAATGGTTTAGTTTGTGAAACAACGGAAATCTGTCAGTTAAAAATTCTGCCTCTTCCAAGAAATGCTGCTGTTTAAGGAGTCTTCAGTGGTCATGACTCAAACCCCCGCAAGAATCCCCAGGAGCACCTAGGCTATTAAAATGAGACCACACACACAAAAAAAGTACACACATTTCTTTAAAATAGTCCTAAAGGTTTACCCTTTCTCAGGACTAGTTTACAATCAGTTGTGTGTTTCTGTTGTCACCAAAATCTGTCTGTGGCTAATTATGTCAGGCACAGTCAATATGAATGAAAACTGTGAAGCAAAACGATAGAAATGACCATGGCCTGGCCGGTTTGTGCTCCCTTTCTTTAAAGTGTTTATGTGCACCATCAATCCATTTGAAAATTTGGTATCAAATCATTTCAGATTTCATAGAAAAACTGGATGTTCAACAAGAAAAAATGTAGGGGCCATATTTTTATCCATGCGCTGTTTAAAAACATTGGTCACACTTTAGATTCACGTCCAAATCTCAATATTAACTAACTATTAACTATGACTTTTGCCTCAATAAACTCCTAATTACTGCTTATTAATAGTTAGTAAGGTAGTTGTTAAATTTAGGTACTGGGATTAAGGGATGTATAATATGGTCATGCAGAATAATATGTGCTTTATAAGTATTAATATGCAGACAATATCCTAGTAATATGCATGCTAATAAGAAACTAGTTAATAGTGACAATTGGACCCTAAACTAAAGTGTTACCAAAACATTTAATACAGCCCTGCATGCCCTGGATATGATTTCTGGACATTTTTTATCTATTCCATGGCTGAAAAATATAAATAAAGATCTAACAGTCTCAAGATACCTGTCAGTGAAATGTTAGGGATTCTCAATTGCATGACAGGAAAATAAACCTGACCCGCCCATATTGACACTTATTTATGGGAATATGACTCATGGAATTCTGTGTTACACTCTTGCATAAGCACATTCAGTCTCTCTACTTGACATTACAGCACGATAAAATAGGTTCAGCAAGGGTGGAGCAAGGGGGTCATTGAATGTCCAATTTACTCTTCTTATGTTAATTCTCCTCTCACCTGATATGTTGAATATTCTCGTCCTGCGGTCCCTTCCAACTCCTTCTCCCTCTTCCTCCTCTTCTTTCTGATTCTCTTCATCTTCTTTGGTTTTCTCCGCTGCCTTTCGGAACCCTCGCCTCTTTATGGGAGACTCATTCCCCAAATCTTGAAAACTACTAGAGCTCAGAACGACTTCCTTTTTACAATCTTTCTTCTTAGAAACTTGTTCTTCTACCTTCCTGTCTGCCTCTCCTTCTAAGGAACAAGGATCAAGCCGGTCATGTTCCTCACTCAACTCTCTCTCCGTCCCTCCCTGTCTTTCTCCTCCCTCTCTTAGTTCTTCCTCTTCCCTTGATTTGACCATTTCTCTCTCACCCTCTGTTTGTGTGTTGGTTTGCATGTCTATGTGTGTAACACTACCTCTCGTATTTTCTGTGTCCACCGCATTCAGACCCAGGATCTCTTTCACCACGTTCTTGGCCCATCTAAGATGAGGAGCAGTAGAGCATCGCTTTCGTTCCTCGGTTGTGCCCCATGTGTCATCTGAATCAAAATACTTCACTGTTTCTCCAGTAGCTTCTTTTTCTCCTCCTTGTAATGTGTCTTCAATATGAATTTCTGGAGCTCCATGACCATTATCCTCGCATGGCCCTAAAGTTTCAGAAGGCTGTGTTGGGAAGAGTTGGGTGCCTTGTTCTGATGCCTCATTGGAAATAATCGTTTGGCCTTCCAGTGATGTTACACCCTCTTTTGCCAGGTCATTAATTGCTGTTTCCTCCCCTTTGTCCTCATTAGGAGAAAGAGTGAGGTCATCCATCGCTCTTTCAATGTCTTGTTCACTATGTTCAACCTTTTCAAATGCATTTGCAGTGCTCATTTCACCTTGGTTGTCCACATCATGAGTTGAATGGTGATTGGCTGCTTCCTCAACAGTAGTATCTACATGTGCATTCTGTTTGGTTTGGGACTTGGGAAGGGTCTGACCAATCACACAAAAAACTTTTACGGGTCCTTTTGGAGCCCTACGATCTGCTCTCTCGTTCGATGTTTGGTTTTCCAGTTCTTCATCTTTTCTGACCTCTCTGCCCTGAGCAGTTTCATCTTCAGCAACTCCACCATCCCAGAATTCTTTGCAGTCTTCAAAATTCTCTTCCTCAGCATCATCCCCTCCACTGGAGACTGTCACAAATCCATCATCTGCTGACATTATTCTGTCTTTCTCTGGTTCCGATTCTCCCTCACTTCCTTCCTCGTTACCCAAGTACTCGCATCTATTGTTTTTTTTCTGTTCCTCTCTGCCTTCCTCTTCCATGTTATCGGTCACATTCTCCATTTCCATCTGCCACTCTGTTTCCAGGGCTTCTCTTTCACAAACCACGTTCCCTTCCATGCTTTTCTCCTCCCTTTCTACATCCACATCCCTCATGAACTCCCCAGCCCTTTCAAGTTCTCTATACTTGTCCTCAGGGCTCTTTTTCTTGTTTTCTTTCTTTCTCTCAGGTTCTTCTTCTTTACCAGTTGTCTTGCTTTCTTTGTATCTTTGGATGTACATCTCTCTAGCTCTGTCTCTCTCTCTGTACTTCTCTTCTAAATGGGATTCTTTTCTCTCACTTCGAGGTTCCAGCCACATTTTCCGTATCCTGATCTTAGCTTGCTTTGGAACTGCTTCCTCAGCAGCAAAGCGTTCACCCTCCTCTTCTTCCCTCAGTGCACTCTTTACTTCCTGCTCTTCCTCTGTTTTTCCCATCAGTTTCTCTTTATCAATCTCAGAAGTGTTTTCTCGTTCTTTGTCATTAGGGTTCTCTCTCATTTCCCTCCCTTGTTCATTCTCGACAACACTTCCTGAAATCAGCTCTCCACTACTTTGTCCGCTCTTCTCCATTTTACTTCTCTCTTTCTCTCTGTTCTCTCTCCTTCGCCTCTCCCTCTCTTCAATCTCTCTTTCAGAATACCTATCCCTCTCTCTTATCCTTTCTCCATCTCTATACCTTACTCTGTCAGTTGTGTATGAGTATGCATCTCTGTGCACTATTTTCTCTTTGGAGTCTCTAATTTTATCTCTTAGTTTATCAGTCTCTCTGAGTCGCTCCAAATTTTCACCTTTTGGATCATGAGAACCTGTTTCCCGGTAATCTCTTTCTCTTGGCATCACCATGTCTTGCCGTCTCTCTGCTTCTCTATCTCTACGTCTGTCTCTCTCTCTAACTCTGTGTACCCTTCGATCTGCATCGCTGTCTCCTTCACTCTTGCAGAGTTTGTGTCCATGTTTAGCATCCTCTACTCTCTCCTTTTCCTTAACCCTGTCTCCATCACTGTCTCCTTCGCTTTTTGTATCTCTTTTCTTAGATCTCTCTCCCTCTCTATGTCTCTCAGTCCTCATTTCCCTATCTGAAAAGCTCTCTATCTCTCGTTCCAAGAGTCGAGGATAATACCTGTCTTCTCTGTCTCTTTTTCTAAGTTTGTCTCTCTCTCTGTCTGTCTCTCTTTCCCTCATGCCTGAAAGTTCAACAACACCTGAGTAACTTTCTCTCCTTCTTTCTTTCCTTCCAGAGTCAAACTCCTTATCTCGTTCCCTTCGTCTCTCTGGCTCCTCCTTCACGGGCCTTCTCATTTCATTTTTCTTCTCCTCCCTGTATCTTGTGTTTTCTCTTTCACTCTGTGTGTCCATTTCTCTGTATCTCCTTCTTTCCCTCTCTCTTTCATCTTCATACAAAATGTCTTTCTGTCTTCCTAAGTGATGCTCCCTTTTATATTCTGAAAGTGGCATCCTTCCATCTCTCTCTTTGCTTGGTTTTGTCATTCTTGGAAAAGTGTCCCCTTTTCTCCTCTCATTGTCTCGGTCTCCATATTCAGCATGTTCTGACACTGATGACTTTCCATTTGCATGGCGATCTCCATCTCTCCGCCTGTCTCTTTCTCTCCTGCCAATCTCTCCATCTCTTCTTCTGGTTGCAGGAAATTTCTCCCTCCCCCTAGTCCAATCATATGAGGCTGGCTCCATTTCTCTTTCTTTGTCTCTTGGTCTGTCCATGTTTTGGTGTTTCCAAGTCTCTTCACATAGGTCACCTTTGCTGATCAGCTGGTCGCTGGTCTTGCGTTGATTGACACAACCTGTCTAGTGCACCTTAAGAAAACTCTATTTGCACAGTGTCTTGAATGGCCAAATTAGTTTGACAGGTTTCCATGTCAAAATAGAGAACCTATAAGGGGTGAAATGTTGTGAAAATTCAAAAAATAAACCAACCAAAATTCATATTCCGAGAGGATCACAGTCAAACATATTCTGGGAAATCTTTAAAACTTTAGAGTATCTTGTTGCAACATGTCAGATATACATCTTGGCAGCTTACACAGTCACGATTAACGTGGCCTGTTTTAAAAATGTGTTGAGCTGAATATCTAACATTAATTTGGCAGATGCTTATCCAAAGTTACCTGCGATGGATTCAAAGTATACATTTTATCAGATTTTGTATTCCCTAGCAATTGAACCTATTAACATGCCATTTTCTTGCGCAAAACACTACCGGATAAGTTACAACGCAACAGAAATACAGTTCTTGTCAAATAAGTCACTTCAAATCAGTGTTATGATGCATAATAGCCTATATATTGCCAATTATACTAAACTTATACACTCCTATAAACTAATTTAACTAATAAGAACTGTCACACTATGAAATATTAATGCAGTTGATATGCAAAACAGCCTGATTGTCATTTCAGCTAAATGAAAACGAATCAGTGCTTACAAAGAATGCAGTTGAACCAACTACTGCCCTATGCTATTCTTGTACCTTGTTCAGAGGCATTTCAAGTAATTCATGCATAGGAATTGAAGGAACACAGCCTCAACAAAGCTGACTCATGTCAAGATGTAATGAATTATATTAACGCACAAAAGCTTTAACAAATTCTACTGCATAAACACAGATACATATTCCCAAGCATGACAAGGCAATATTTGCCTGTGATATGCATGTTTGTTTACAAGAACTGTTTGTTTAACTAAAGTTAGAAAAAAAGGATAGAAGAAAACGTTTTGGGAATAATGCAGAGGACTCACCTGAGAAGTGTCTTGGGGGACGCTTCTCTGTCTCTCCCCCTCTTTTTCTTCGCTTTCCAGACAAAGTGAAGCTAGCAGGAATTGCACAACTCATAGACATTCCACATATCAGTGTTTGCCCACTGAGAGAACCAAAGTCAAGTGAGATAAATGATCTACTGAAAACACTGATTTAATTATCCGGCCTGTCTCTGTCCTACTTAATCTGTTCATGTAATCAAAAATAGTTTTCAGCACAGTAAAGTTTCTCACCGTGTTCCTCTCTCTCTCTTTTTCTGTTTCTCTCTCTCGTCCCCTCCTCCCGCCCTTCTCAAATTCCCAAACAAGTTTGAACAGATTGACACTTATATTCCTCCCTCCTCCTGTTTCTGTTTTCCTTTTACTTTTCCCCTCCAGCACTGTCTTAAAGAGGCATCCAAAAGTAAACGTCTGTTTAAGCGTACACGCAGCTTTTCTTTGCTTCTCATAAACTCAGTAGACTCACAGTGATTGCGTTACAGCTTGTTCCAGTAATTCAGCCCTTCACTCACCTCACCCTCACTGGCACTGCATGCTTCTGCACACAGCAACAGGAAGTTCACAGTCTGCTTCTCTCTTCTGTGCTGTGATTGGTGGAGTTGAAGATGCTGGGTGTGTCTTTTTTCCCAGGTAAAGGCATGAGAAGGAGTGAGAGCAAAGGGGGAGGGGCGGACAAGTATGAGTGTGTCCATACACCGTAACGCCGTCAGCAGCTTACGTAACACAAAAAAAGTAACAGTTCTCAGAAAAATCTGTAAAAGACAGTGGGAACCACATTACACATTAGGAAAACGCATAGAACAATGATGTATTATAAAACTTTAGAAATCTATTTATTTTTGCTCTTTATGTGCAAAGCCTTTCAAATTATGTTTAATTAGTGTATTTCTGGTATAAACTGTTTAGTTTAAGATAATATTTTTGAGAAAATATTTTTGAGTGGTCAGTCAGCAATATTGGATGCAGATTTTAAAAATTGTAAGCATTATCTTTGTAATCCAAAAATGCTCAAGTTTAATTGATTATTTTGTTATAAATAGTCAAGTGTCCTGTCATCATATTGAAGCATCTGAATAAGCTCAGCTCCAGAGTGTGCTGTTATCTGAAAGCAAACATGCAAAACTTAATCTAAACAAAGCTGATACAAATCAATTGAATGTCCTGGACAAAGGTTAAGACAAATGATCAATCATCAACATGTTCTATTCTAAGGCAAAAAAGAAAAGAAAAAATGGCGAGGGAAGAGGGGATCCAGACAACAGAGACTTAGGAGAATGAGATTTAAACCGTGTCTCCCCTCTCTCATCATGGGCAATGTGAGATCATTGGTGAATAAGATGAACGAACTAACAGCATTAGCCCGGATTGTTGTTTACATTCCGCCATCGGCAAACCCGACGTCAGGGTGTAACGTTATCTACTCCGCCATAGCTGAACTCCAGACTCAACACCCAAGTGCCCTCATAGTGATCTCCGGTGACTTCAACCATGTTAATATGAACACCACACTAACAAATTTTACTCAGTATGTAAGATGCCATACTAGAGAAGAGAGAACTTTGGACTTGCTGTATGCTAACGTTAAGGAGGCATACCGCTCCCCACATATAACATGAAGGAGGTCTGGAACGGCATGAGGAACATCACTGGCTTCAGACCGACTGGCAACAGAGGGGTTGAGGGCAGTTTGGACAGGGCCAATGAACTTAATCTGTTTTTCAACAGATTTGATAATGTGTCTCCTCTCAATCTGTCTATTAACTCAGCAGCAGTCACACCTTCAATCCAACTACTCTCCCCTCCTCCTCCTCTACCTCATTGTCCTCCCCCCTCTCCAGGGGAGATTCTTACACCTCCATCCTCCAGCCCTCAGATTAATGGCTCTCTTCAGGATGATGACTCCAACTCTCCACCTTCTCCACCTCTGATTTCTGTGCATCTAACTTTGGACCAGGTAAGAAGACAATTGAGGAGATTACACTCTAATAAGGCTGCTGGCCCTGATGGTGTGCGTCCCGGAGTGCTCAAAGCCTGTGCCTCCCAGCTATGTGGAGTGCTTCATCGTGTCTTCAACCTGAGCCTGAGTCTCCAAAGAGTCCCTGTGCTATGGAAAACATCTTGCCTCATTCCTGTGCCAAAGACGCCTCGTCCAAGTGACTCCAGGGACTACAGACCTGTGGCACTGACCTCCCACATGATGAAGACCCTGGAGAGACTGGTCCTGGACCAGCTGCGGCCCATAGTTAAATCTTTACTGGACCCAGTCCAGTTCGCCTACCAGTCTCGACTGGGAGTAGAGGATGCCATCATCTTCCTGCTCAATCGCATCTACGCCCACCTTGACAAGCCGGCTAGCACTGTGAGGGTCATGTTTTTTTACTTCTCCAGTGCTTTCAACACCATCCGGCCGGCCTTGCTGAGTGAGAAGCTGACGGCAATGAAGGTGGATGCCCCCCTCGTGTCCTGGATTGTTGACTACCTCACTGGTAGACCACAGTATGTACGCCTTCAACACTGTGTATCAGACATCATGATCAGCAATACCGGGGCCCCGCAGGGGACTGTACTCTCTCCCTTCCTCTTCACTATTTACACCACCGACTTCAACTATCACACTGAATCTTGCCATCTTCAAAAGTTTTCTGACGATTCTGTTGTGGTTGGATGTATCAGTAGGGGTGACGAGACTGAGTATAGAGCTGTGGTGAGGGACTTTGTTACATGGTGTGATCGGAACCAACTGCAGATCAACGTGACAAAGACCAAAGAACTTGTTGTGGATCTTAGGAGAACAAAGATACCAGTGACCCCTGTTTCAATCTGGGGGGTCCCTCTGGACATTGTGGAGGACAGTGTTGTAGTCGAGTCACCAACTGTCGAGTCCGAGTCGAGTCTCGAGTCCCAGTGTTCGAGTCCGAGTCCAAGTCCGAGTCACCAAAGAAGAGTCCGAGTCGAGTCCAAGTCGAGTCACCATTACCTGAGTTCAAGTCCGAGTCGAGTCTCGAGTCCCGTGTTCGAGTCCGAGTCAAAATTATACACTTAAGCCAAATCAAGCAACATTTTTCAGGCACTCTTTCTTGCAGCTAGAAATGTGTATGATAGCCTATCTCACTAGAATTGCCTTTGACCTTATCAAATCATTGTCAACTACCTGTGGCACGATTATATTTATTTAATTGTTTAAATACATTTTTGGATGATCAGTCAACTGGAATGGATAAAGAAAACAAAAAAGAAAGCCTAATTGGACAGAGGAGGAGAAATGCATTCATCTTTACGAATATGGTAAAAGAAAAACAATTTTGAAATTTTGAAAAGTAGGCCTAAACTAAATCCCAAAGTAACTGCGGCAAAAACCCCCAGAAAATGCAGTGCTATAAGCAGTTGTAACTCTGCAGGAAAAGAGTGGTTGCAATGTGTGACATAGTCAAGGTCGCCGTCTAGTTTGTTAGCTAAAATAAACATAATTGTGTTATTGTATGATAAGCGGGATTAAGCGCTGAGCGCGCCAGCAATAGCACGAAAGCATAGTTTAAATCTGGCAGTTATGTCACGTCACTGTACGTTCGCTCCTTAGTGGTCAGCCCAGCTGCTGCAAAGCGTGCCAAAATCGAAATTGCTGATTAGATGTAGAGGAACTTATCTAGTGTTAAATGAGTGTTGCGTTATCTCTCTCACGAGAATGCAGCGTAAAGTGAGTGACGTCGTGAGTGTGTTGTCAAGCAAGGAGAGCGAGCGGTAGCAGTGTCTGTGAGGGAAAAAAATAGATCACGGCCGGTCTTGGACCTCGAAACAGGAAAAGTTTAACATCTTATATCAAATTTTTATAACCTATTTAGTCAGAAACAACGTCATTCATTTGATGAATGCTCAAGTCCGATTTTATATTTTCGAGTCCGAGTCCAAGTATAGTCATCAGTCCGCGAGTCCAAGTCGAGTCACGAGTCCAGAGCATGGAGTCTCGAGTCGGACTCGAGTCCAG